GTCTCCTCCTTCCAAGCCTACTACAAACTGGATACTGTGGAGATGAGTTTAATGTTATCAGAAAAATATGTGTTTGTATCCTAGAATACAGTTCCACAGCCTTTCAGGCAGATTTTATCCCCAAAATCAACATCCATCATACATTTCTACTGAATATCAAATAATGTAGCTCAGTAGGTATAATTTTCATTTGGTGGGTGTGTCTACACATGCAAATAGTCTGGAGAATTTTAGTACTCTAGAGTAAAGTCTCCCAGGCACGCATCTACAGAGGGACATGGGAGGAGATTTGCTGCTCCTGGCAGCAGACTGCTCCCACTCCCTGCATCCCTGCACCAAGCCTCTGCAGCAGCCGGAGGAACTCTAGGCTTCCCCTGGGTGCTAGACCAGGGGCTGGCAGGGAGCATGGGCACAGGAGACACCTGTCTTCTGGCAGGGGCTGGGTCATTGTTCCCTGTCCCTGGGAGCTGCCTGTTGCTGGGGCAGGCTGCGCCCCAGGTAGAGACAATGTCCCCCTGTCCCAGCAGGAGGGAGCCAAGGCTGGGAGATCCCAGCCCAAGCCCCACAGTTGCAAGCCCAGGCTGGGAGATCCTTATCTCCCAGTCTGGGCCCGGCTACGACAGAGCTCAGGCTGAGAGATAAGGATCTTCCAGCCCTGGCTTCATGATCATGATTAGGGAGCAGGGGCTGGGAACTCTCTGCTGCCAGCCCAGGGGGATATTGTACTCACTCAGCCTCCAGTGGCGGAGCCTGCCCCAGCAGCAGGCAGCTCCTGGGGACAGGGAGCAATCTCTTGCCCCCTGCTGCCTGGCCGACCAGGAGCAAATGTGTTCCCAGTCAGATGTCTACACATGCAGTACTGTGCCATAAGTAATCGAGAGTAAACTTGCTTCTTGTATTTATAGGATTAGAGTAAATTGCTCTGCATTATATGTCTGCACATGTAGATGGTGATGCTTACTGCACAATATTTAGCTCTAATCTCAACTCAAATACATTGTGTAAATGTGCCCACTGAGGAAATATTTGCTGCCTAAAGTTAAAAGAAAGGAACAGATTATCAAGGCATCAGAGACGTCCATTCCTGGCTTTGCCAATGATTTCTTATATGACCAGAGACAAACTATTGCCTTGTTATCTATATGTGTGTCATTGCCTTGTTATCTATATGTGTGCCAGCTAGAATCCTTGCCTTATAGTAAAGTTGTGTTGCTAAATGATTGTGAAGTCCTGATAAAAAGTATTTTGTGGTAGTTCATACAAATCTTATGTTGTTAAAGCAAATAGTGGGCAAATTATAAAACCAAATTATATTAGTGTTTGGTTTGCAAAACAGCACATGTGATGAGGTGAGATTCTACATATTTTTTTAGTTGGAGGATTACATTTTCCTTTTGACCCTTCTGTCCTCTCTCTGATATTTTTCCAGGTCTGGTTATGACTGTCATAATGTATTACAGGAGACTTACAGGCTAAGGAGAGGCTAGAACCAATAAAGGATTTAGGTGCCTAAAGCAAGTACCAAAATTGTGGTCCAAAAAGCTACTCACTGGGTGTATCTACACATGCACTTTAATTCGCAGTAGCCTATTCTACTGTGCATTAAAGTGGTGCATAATAGCGTAATGGTGCATTATATTCTAATGTTCAGTAGAATAGGCTACAGCACATTGTGTCACCTGAAAAGCATGTGCTTGTTCTACTGCACATTAGTGCAGCCGAATGCGCATTTATTTAGTACCTCATATTGAAGGTACTAAATTGAATATGTATTAGGAAACGTGCATGAATGCACATGTAGATACACCCACTTACTGCCTAAACTCAGTAGGTGCTTCCCCATTGGACTTCAAATGCCTAGAATTCTGCTTCTGGGCATGCTCAGAACTGACTGGACCTGTAGGAACAACTTGATGCCTACTTCCTGTTTAACCCTGACTAGGGTCCATAAAAAGAACTTCCTCTACCTAGCTCCCTTGATGGATTTTGTCAGGTAAGCATTCTCCGAGGACATCTCATGCACACACTAATGGGCTCTCAGGTAGCAGTCACTTCCTTGTAAAATGTCCTGTTCAGCCACTGTTTATGAAAGAGACTACAGCACTCAGCCAGGACGTAGGAAACCTGAACTCAAAACTCTCTGTCCTAGAGAGAGCCCAAAATGAGTTGGAAGTGTTTTTATTTTACCTGATGCCTATTTAATGTAAAAATCCCAACGTGCTGCCAAGAACAAGGTCCCAGCTGAGTGCCCCAAGTACTTGTATGCACAGTCCCATGCCCATTTGTTCTTTTTCTCTGGCTCTGTGTCTCACTATTCTTCTGTATAATAGCACAGCATGACTAGGTGGTGTGAAGTGTGCCCCAGAGCAGAAGTGGTCAGAGCACTCTTTCAGAAGGTAGGAGTTATTGGTTTCAACATCCTCAGGAGAATGAGGACATTGAACCTACATCTCCCACTTTCTAGGTGAGCTTTTTAACCACTAGGTTGTTAAAAAGTAGTCAGCCTCCTCTTCATTCAGCAGTTGTGTATTAAAAAATAATGATCAAAGGATTATTCTGTGCAGACCCTGATCTTCTTATCCTATGTTAGAAGCAAGGGTTTTTTGGGGCGTGATATATTTTATTGGACCAACTGCATGGCTGGGATAAAGTTAGACATGCTGGATGCAGAATCTGATAAAGTGTGTCTTGCATTTGAAAGCTTATCTAACCATGCAGTTGGTCCAATAAAATATATCACCCTAAGAAAATCCTTGTTTCTTGCATAAATCTTGGGTTCTAACTCTAACATCACTCTAAGACTAACATATTTCAAACGAAACATTCTCAGAGTAAGTCCACTATACAGAGACACTCAGGGAACCCAGTGAGATGAACTCCTCATTGCTGGCTCCTAGGAAACTGTGGAAAGTGTTAGGTGGGATCTAGGTGCTGAAATGCTCAATATGGAGACATCACTTCTGGGCCTGCACAGAGGAACTCATGGCTCCTGAGGAATTGTGTGATTAAAATGTGTGACTTATTAGAACAAGAGGTTTTTTAAACCTTTTCTTTTTTATGTCCTTGTGACATGATTTTTAGCAGAATCTGCAGATTCATTTAAATTTGGCAGGACCACACTATGGGTGTTTCTACTATGGAGTCTAATTCATGACCTCTGGGCTGCCAACCATGCACCTTAGTGCCCACACCACCCCTGCACCCCTTTTTTGAGACTATGAATTTAATGAGAATCCTAAAAAGACTCGATATTTATTGTGTATCAAGAACATCCAGATTTTTTATAATTAACTATGGTGTAAATTTAGTAAAGGCTGTTAATCCATTTTCCCTCAGAGCTTAATCCAATCTGTAACTATAAGCAATTACGATAAAATCAGGATCTGATTTATTTAGGGGAAATTAATCCCACATCTGACTCTTTTCCCCTTTCTGGCCATTCTTGAAGAAAGAATAATTCTTAGTATGGACTGCCGCTCTGATATGGCATGGCAATTCCTGTGCTTCTATAGTTTTAAATTCCAGTAATAGTGAGGTTCGTATTAGTTGAAGAAGAGGAAGGTGTTTGATATCCATGGTTTTGGTTTCAATACATATTAATTATTATCAACACTAATTAGTCAGATTGCATATGCATATGCAAATGAAAATGGATCCTTTCTGATTGACTGGAGCTGAGGAGAGGAAAAAATATTTTTCAATTCTCAAGAGATGAAAGGATATTTTCTTTCCTGGACTTGTAAGAAATAGCATATTTTTGGAATATTATTTTAAAATAAAGCATTCAGGCAAGCAGATGACACAGAGTCTGCAGCTGGATAATATTCAAGGCTAGCTGATTCAATGGCTGAATGTGTGAAGCAGTACATACACTGTATTAAATTCTTGAGTCAATTATTATTAAAATTTACTGTTCTTCAAGATATATATTGACCTTTATTCCATGTTAGCCATTGTCAATAAATGATGTAATTCCCATCTAAAAAAAAAAACAATAGTGGCTTTACTTTACTAATTTCCTAGAACTATTATTATTCACCTCCTATACAACACAAGTGAATAATAATGTTTGGATTTTAAAGAGCATAGGGAAGACCTTGGGCATTTATACATATGCTCCGGGAGTGGGTGGGTGGGTGGGCAATTTAATCAAAGCGGCTCTGAGAGCTGCTTTAATTAAAGCACCCAGAGCATCTTGTGTATCAGTGTCCCCATGCTTCAGAATGGCAGTGGAGGTGCTTTATCTAAAGCTCATCAAACGAGTTTTAAATAAAGCACCCCCACTGTCATTTTGAAGCATGGGAATGCTGATACAAGAGACGTGGGAGGCTGCTGGAGCGCAGTAATTGCCATGCTCCACCACACTTGATTAATTTGGAGCAAGCCCACAGAGTTCTTGATTAATCAAGTCTGCTCCCACATGCTGGAATTACAGTGCATTGGGGCAGCCTCCCTGCTCATGTACAGGCACCCCTTGTTTCTAACTTGCAGAGTTTACAATCTTAGGCCTCTATTTTGCAATTTCATATGTCTTTTAACTGCACTAGGATGCCCTGTTGGCAAAAGGGGTTGCCCACAGAGTTCTTGAGGATTATATAAAGAACAGAAAACACTGCAATGAGAATTGAAAGATTAACAGAAATAATATGTGACTGTTTTCTGTTTAGTCTTAGTTCTGATTGCATCTTTTGGGGGGGAAAGTGGTTTTAGAGCACCTAATGAGCAATTAGGGATTTTTAAGTTTTCTATTTTAAATTCCACAGTGCTCTTTCTGACATGTTAATTGCTTCTCATCCACATAGTATTAGAGAACAGTAACAATCAGACTTTATCAGCAGCAATCATGGAAATCAATCACTGCAGTGACATGCTGATGTGCATCTTAACAATGAGTTCTGTGAATACTGAACTTTAATAGTTTCTTTTGAAAAACATGCATTTCCTGTATTAG